TGTTTGATCTGTTTTAAATTTACAGCCTGACAGTTTCATTAAACACAGAGCTGACTTTTTTTCCCCCTTGAAAAATAATCTTTTTGTGCTGAAATATTTTTCCCCACATAAAAATTTGGCATTCCCTTGTTATTGTTTGAAAGCAAAATGCTTGCAGTCGTTTTTGGATAAGAGATAAAAATAAGACAATTTTCTTATTTAGAGAATCTTTGTTATAAATAAGACAATCAATCAATTTATGAAAAAAACTAAATTAATTTATCCACTTACTTAAAAAGACAATATATCCATTTATAAGTCTTTAAACATGACAGGTTTCCAATTTAAAAACATCACTAGATAAGCCAATTTATGCATTTATTAAAATAAAATGTCAGTTTTATGTCTAGATTTTTTTATAAATGGAAAATACAACAATTTTTCCATTTATTGAAAAACCTGTAAATCAGACAATTTCCCCCTTTTAATAACATTGTAGAAATACAACAATTTCCCCATTTATTAAAAATTCTCTCAATACGACAGTTTCCCTATATGCGAAAAAATCTCCTAAAATGACAGATTAAATTATTTTTTTTAAATGTCTAAATAATACAATGTATCCATTTCTGAAAATGACAAACATTTCAGTTAAAAAGATTGATAAAATATTCATTAAAAAGGTAAATTTTGAAAATTAGAAAATAAAAACAACTGAAATTTCTATAGTCCCCCCCTCCGCCCCCGATCAGTACTGCCAACTCCAAGCATTCAAAAATGTTGAGTCAGGCACACACACACTATTCATGAGATCGACCAAATTGTGTTACAATTCATTAAAAACAAAATCGGATTCTTTTTAGTTACCCTCTTCTTTCTGTGCCTTTAGGATACGCTTAGTTCATGTTTTCAAGCCTTTCTCTGGAACTACCAGGTCTAGAAACTTTCACTGAAAAAATAAGTCTCTGAATCTGTGTCCCTTAATATCCCTTTCTGGTGCCGGCATTTCAGAGACATCATCCCAGCCAGGACCAGACGCTGCCTCAGCAGCATTGGGGAGCAGGTCAGGTGTTTGCTGAAATCACAGTCAGTTTTGCTCTGGTTTTTCCATAGACTCAGCCCGTGTAGGGAGCGAGTCACAGCTCCTTCTGGGGCAGGGGAACTTTTTGGGTGCACGAGGCTCAGCGATATTTTACTTTCAACTGATTTCTTCCTCATGGATCCTCTGGGCTGGTTCTAAAGCTGTCCAGGACTTAGCTGCGAAGCCGGTGATGGGGAAGTAGAGGGAATGATTACAGTAATCCTGCTCCTCCAGTCTCTGGCCAGCAGGGGCTGCTCTGCCCCTGGTGCAGGGTTGCCATCACTCCCACCTCATAAAGGACTGGCTCGTACTAAATCAATACGGGACGACTTTTATCCCATATTTCAACCTGGACACAGAAGGTAGCCAAGCATCTCCTCCGGCACCTGAAATCCAGAATTGTGTCTCCAGATCATTTTACAAAGTGTCACAGGCTGGCAACGCAGGCCGGCGCACAGGGTCGCTAGGCCACTCAAATTTGGCCCGGCGGCCGCCCCTCCAAAAGCCGCCCCCTTTCCACAGAAATCTGAAGTGAGGCCCCCTTGCAGCAAAGCGTTCTCCAGCTGCTGCCTTCCTCTGGTCCGCACCCCTCCTTTCAGCCCCTACCCCCAGCTGTGCCCAGCTCTGCAATGGGTGGAGACCAGCAACCACAGCCTCCGACTCGGCGCCCGCGCAGACCCTGAAAAGGAGCTGCAGCGGCTTCCCAGCCTAGCGCCGGAGACCCTGGGGTCACTGCAGCACCCAGAGCTGGAGAGAGAGACCCCCTAGGAAGGACAGAGGAGGAGGGAGTGGCCCCCCCAGAGGCTCAAGTCCAGACATGGAACAGCTGAGCTCTGTGCTGTATTTTCGCTAGCCTACTTCACCAGGGTCGTGTAGAAGCCAGGAAAGTTCCCCACAATAGCAAGACCATTCCCCCGCTTACACATGGCACTGGGTTTCTCTGAGGACTGGTTTCCATGTCACTGGGTTTCTCTGAGCTGCAGGAAACCCAGAGACCTCACGGGATGCTGGTGATGAGGGTGGTCGGCATGAGGGACATGGGGCCTCAGAGTAACCCGGCCTCAGGAAATCAGGTGCCTTGGAAAGCCAGCCTCTGGGAAACAGGGCCACAGAGAGTCCAGGTTTTAGGCAAACTGGGCTGCAGGGAAATGAGATCTCGCGGAGCCTGGGCCACCAGGAAGATCAGCATCTGGGAAACCAGGCCTCAGAGAAACCAGGTGTCATGGAAACCAGACCTCAGAGAAACCCAGTGCCATGGAAACCAGGCCTTAGAGAAACCAGGTGCCATGGAAACCAGGCCTCAGGAAAACCAAGTGCCATGGAAACCAGGCCTCTGAGAAACGAGGTGTCATGGAAACCAGGCACCATAACAATCATGAGCCATAGAAACCTTGAACCATCTTGAGCCCCCACCCAGTAACCTGGGAAATGTACACACCAACCCTGTGCACCTGTGAGAGGCAATACTTTCCTATTCGCAAGCTCAGAGTCTGTGTGTAGAAAAGAAACTTTTAATGAAAGGGGAAGTAGCTTGACCTTAATTTGGGAAAACACCACAAACAGGGCTCATAAAAATAAACCATGAGTAAAAGACCTACCCCCAAGTCGGTTGGGCAGTGTCCTTTCCCCCTCAGGGTCTTAAGTCCATCAACCCAAAGTCCCTTTCACATGCCCAACCCTTCTCTGCACCCCACGTACAGTCGCTGTCTTTGGTCAGTGCAGACCCAGAGTTCAGAAGTGCAGCTGCAGAGTTCACCTCCCCGAAGGTGGGGTAAAAAGGCACCTTACTCGCTCCACTGCTTGGTTACTCCCTCGCCACCCCTCTCTGCCACCGCCCTGCTGGCCGCTCATCAGCCACCTGTTCACCGCTCTCGCCGCGCCTCTCCACCAGCCACCCTGCTGGCCGCTTATTGCGCCTCTCCGCCGCACCAGCCACTTGTTCATCAGCTGACTGTCAGTCACTTCTGCTGCCCTCTGCCTCTCTGCTGTGACCTCTGCACATCCGTCTCTTAGTGATTTTCAGCTCTGTGCAAGCTGGGCAGAAACACTGCCCCATCCCAAGTGATTTCAGCTCTGATTGGGCATTTCACATAACAAAGAGGCTCCTAATGAAGCTTACTTAGCTCTATTCTTTGAACAGTGGGAGAACCAGGTTAAACCCATCTAGAATGAACACTAGATGAGGGTCTGCAGGTTTCTGACTGGGGATACCTGTCCCCCACCGCTTTTCCTTTCACAGCGCTCTGACATTCAAGCCCCTGGCTTAACAATGTTCTTTCAACTGCGGGTGGCCCCCTCATTTGGGACAGGTTAAGCACAATCCTGCTTTCCAGTATTCCTACAATAATTACAACATTGGTAACCATATTTCACTCCCCGGCATTCAGTCCTAAGGTGAGTTGTACCCAACACCAGCCAAAGTTGATCATTTTGATACTGTTGAATATGTAAATAGAGCAGGAACAAACTCATCCCCTCCCAGCTCGCTGTCAGGGCAGCATTCATTCAGACCCTGCTTACAGAAGTGGAAACCCATTTGTAGACACTTACATTGGTTTACACGTGGCTTATATTGATTACAGGACTTGGTCCAGGTGTTTTATGTCATTGTAACTTAATTTGGTAAGGGATCTATTTAAACTAAATTGATATGAGCCTAAATTATTCTTGCTTGAGGTGTGACTGGAGGATCATAGTGATGTCGATCTGGAAGGGATCTCGAGAGGTCATCTAGTCTTACCCCCTGTCCTGAGATTGAACCATGTACACCTCAAACATCCCTGACAGATGTTTGTCCAACCTGGTCTTAAAAACCTCCAGTAACGGATTCCACAACCTCCCTAGGTAACCAGTTTGATGCTTAACTGTCCTTAGAGTTAGAAAGTTTCTCCTAAGGTCTAATCTCAATCTCGCCTGCTGCACACTAAGCCCATCACTTCTTGTCCTACCCTTGCTGGACGTGGGGAACAATTGATCACTGTCCTCTCTGTAGCAGCCTTTTGCATAGTTGCAGACCAACATGTCCCCCCTCAGCCTTCTCTTCTCTAGACTAAACAAGCCCCGTTTTTCAACCTTTGCTCATAGGTCTTGTTTGCTAAGCCTCTCATCATTTGTGCTGCTCTTGTCTGGATTCTCTCCAATTTCTTCACATCTTCCTTAAAGTGTGGTGTCCAGAATTGGACCCACAAACTTAGATGTATTTAACTTATCTAAATATTCTTTAATCTGTTCTTTCCCTATTTTGGTCTGAGATCCTTTCCCCTTGTTGTTAATATTAAGCATCTGGTCACAATTAACCATTTTGGTAAAGACCTGAAGCAAAACAGGTATCCCACACTTGAGCCTTCAGAAGCAGTAGCACAGGTGTGACAGGTTGGGTCACAGAAACTGCCTTGGGACTGCCATCTGATGTGCTGGGACTAGCTCTGAGCCTGTTTTCCCTGTCAGTTTGGGACTTCAGTAACCTGCCTGGTTGTGCCAGACACTCTAGCCTGCTGCAACCCAGACCCAGGTCTGAACCACGTCCCCCAAAAGCTGCAGGCTGAACTGAAAGCAGCTTAATAAGTGCTCCTGTCTCCAACACCCAGATACACAGCTCTCAATGGGATCCAAACCCCAAATAAATCCGTTTTACTCTGTATAAAGCTTATACAGGGTAAGCTCATAAGTTGTTTGCCCTGTAGAACACTGATAGAGAGATGTGCCCAGCTGTTTGCTCCCCAGATATTAATACTTGCTCTGGGTTAATTAATAAGTAAAAGTGATTTTATTAAATATAAAAAGTAGCATTTAAGTGGTTCCAAGTAATAACAGACAGAACAAAGTAAATTACCAAGCAAAATAAAACAAAAACACGCAAGTCTAAGCCTAATACCGTAAGAAACTAAATGCAGGTAAATCTCATCCTCAGAGATGTTCTAATAAGCTTCTTTTACAGACTAGCCTCCTTCTAGTCTGGGTCCAGCAATCACTCACACCCCTCTGGGTACTGCCCTTTGTTCCAGTTCCTTTCAGGTTTCCTTTGGGGGTGGAGAGGCTCTCTCTTGAGCTAGCTGAAGACAAAATGAGTCTTTCTCTTGTGCAACATTACAGCCACAAGATGGGGTCTCTAGCCACCTGGGCAAGTCACATGTCTGAATGATTCTGCTTTTTGCAGGCCAATGCCATTGTTCACATGTTACTTTGAACATTCCTAGGAAAGCTCAGATGTGGATTGGCATCTACCAAAGTGCATTGGCAGTTAAGTGTTTCTAGATTGGGCACTTACTGAGAATAGTCCTTTCTCAAGAGGCTGACCAAATGCTTCACTGAGGCTACTTAGAATCAAACAAATACATAGGCAATATTCATAACTTCAAATACAAAAATGATACATGCGTACAAATAGGATGAATATATTCAGTAGATCATATCCTTTTCAGATATGTTACTTGGCATATCTAGCATAAAACATATTCCAATTAAGTCATATTCATACTCATAAGCATCTTTCTATAAAGCATTATGGGGTGCAATGTCGCAACAGGTTCGATTTTTTTCCACTGAAAACTGGCTTTTCAAGGGAAATGAAAAATGTGGTGGGAAAATTTTCATTCCTTTGAAATTTTTCAGTTTTTTGATTAAACTAAATGACAAATTTTGAATCAAAAACTGCTTTTGAGAGTCTTGGCTTCTGAAAAAGTGAAACAAACTTGGAATTTTGGGTGCATCTGCTCACTTTTCTTTCTCTCCTTCCCCTCTTCCCATTTTCCAATGGAAGGGAGAGAAAAGGCAGAGTGAAAAGTGTGGGTGGGGGGAATATAACAAAGAAAGAACTAAAATGTTTTGTTACGATTGGTTTAATTTTTTTCAAGGAAAAATGCCACAAAAATTGTCCAACAAAACAGCATTTTTAAAATTTTCTTCGATTTTTTTAATTTTTAAAATTAAAATGGCAGAGAAAATATTTTTCTCCTAGCTCTAAGAAGTAGCACCTGCCTTGGAGCCCTCAGAAAATGCTGACTCATACAACAGTAGTTTAATCATGAACAAAGTGAAATTTGTACCCTGACAACAATTAAACTTAATAACACAATCTACCAATATTAGCTTTGCTATTAACACTGTCTAAGGGAACAATCACGTCAACATCTTAATTCTTTCATGTTTGCTGGAAAAGAGACGATTCCTCGGTTGAGTTTGGATTACACAGGGTATTGAGCTGTTTGTTCTGACAAGAGAGCTCACAGCACCAGATATTTAAAGGCTAAATCCCTCTGAAACATCTGGCCCACAGATCAGTGTCCGATCTCTCCCTTGCCTCTGTGTCAGGAATCACAGATCTCAAACACTGGCCCACAGGGCGCTTAGGAGCTCGTCAGTCTGAATCCACCACCCAGTGTCCTGCTAACGCTGCTAGAATAGCCGCTGAAGGGGAGCAGAGGACTCCAGTCCTGGGTTCTGATTGGTTGCACCCTGGGGGGCCCGACAGGTCCCCAGCCTCTGTGTCCCCCAAGCCAAGGGGCAGGACGTTGTCTGTGCAGCTGGGTCCTCCCTGCTCAGCTCTGCTTCCCCTGCAATACCTGCTCCTGATCTCCTGGGAACCTCTCCCCACATGACACCTGGTTTGCCCTCTGGTCTGTCCCCCCCATGTCCCAAACAGCCTCTTCAGCGAGGCCTCTCCCCGGTCTCCCCCCAACAGCCTCTTCATTTGAGGGGTCTCTCCCTGGTGCTCGGCTGGGTCCCTCTCCCACAGGGGGGCTCCCTCCTTCCTTGGTGGGACCCCCCAACTCCACACAGAGTTGGCCTCCAAGGAGCATAAAGACCCAGCCTAGAGCCTCACACAGACCTCCACAGCCACAGAGCAATGGGTAGAGCGTCACCCCCCTTTCAGCCCTGCCTGTGGAGGGGGAGACTGGCTGAGTCCTCCATGTCATAGAGATCAGGAGGGTGGGGGCTAGAGGAGCCGCACATTGAGATCAGCCCGGAAGAACGGGCGGATTCTCTCCCCAGTGAAAGAGGCCGGCGGGAAAGTGAATATCGGGTCCCCACGACTAGCATCAAAAAACGCCACCTGCCCCCGTTCATAGTCCAGATAAACCCGGATCCTGCGGGGTCCCTGGCTCGGGGGGAACTGGATTAGCTGCTCAGGGGATGTGGGAGCCCAGCACCAATCCTCACTGCATGACACAGCCCAGATCCCCTGCTCAGGGTTAAGGCTGATCTCTCCCTTCCTGCTCACAGACTCTTTGGCCAATCCCACAGCACAGTCTCCCATCCCCTCTGCCTCCACCTTCACCTCCATCTCCCAGTAATGACTGCCCGAGGTGAATCCCTCACAGCCCAGCACACAGTGCTCAGTGTCAAATCTCTCAGGGTTGTTGGGCAGATCCTGCCGTGTCTCCCCCCATCTTGCACTTCTCCGATCTGCAGACACAATGAGTTCAGGATGGGCCGTGTCTGGATCCAGAGTCACTTTTGCTGTAGAGAGAGAATCAGAGCGTGAGGGGCAGAGCTCAGCCCTGGGGCAGGGTCTGATCGTGTCAGTGACAGAACCTGCCCCAGCTGGGGAGTGAACCAGGCAACCTCCTGCCTCCAGGATTTACCCAGCTCTGCATGGGGAGCAGCGCTGAGATCTCAGCCATGGGCAGGGGGGATTCACACCCTGACAGAGCCAGTTCAGGGACAGAGCGAAAGGACCAGCTCAGCTGGGCCAGGCCCCCAGACCCAGACTCTGAGTCTCAGTTATTCCATCCTTGTGCTTGAGGGGAAGACACCTTTGTCCTTCCTTTAGTCTGCCTGGCCCCTAGTTAGAGGGGGCTCAGGGCTGCAAAGCAGGGAGCAGCCATAGTGTGATGCCTCCTGTCTATGCCCCCAGCAGAGCCGTCCCTTGGGTAGGGTGAATCGGGGCGACCGCTCTGGGCCCCATCTTTGGGGAGCCCCGAGGGCTTGTGCAATTGGCTGGCGCAGTTGGTCCCAGAAGAGATGAATCAGTCACTTTTGCCCCGGCCCCCGCTAGGGATGGCCCTGGCCCCCAGCATGGCCCCAAACCCACTCCTACAATAACTGGGAGCAGAGTTGGTGTAGAGCCCCTGTGCCAACTTCACACGGATGGGGGGAGGGCGGGGTGGCTCCCTGGCACCGGAGCTATTTTCTGGGGACTGTTTCCAGGCACATTAAGGTCATTTTTAGGTCAGTCTCTGGATGTTTGAACTCCCCCGGCCCCTCCCCAGGGTGTGCGCATGTGACAATCAGTGTCGCCCACTCGCCCACATGTCCTGGGGAAGGGGATTTTGGCTCCTGCTGCAGGAGCTCTCACCGCCACATCTGCCCATCTCCTGCCCAGCAATTAATCCTGTCCCCAAAACCCCATCAGTTCTGTCCCCATCCAACCCCCACATTCAGTCCCCCAGCCCCCATCATCACCCCCCATCAGTTTAGCACCCCTACCCCACTGCCCTCAGTTCACCCTCCCAGCACTCACCCTATCTGCTCAGAACCCACCAGCAATACAGCCCCCCCAGCCCATCAGCCCCCTGCACACTTCAGCTCCCCCTGCAGCCCCCAGGCCATAATAAAGCCCTCCTAGCCCCACCTCTGCTCCTCCTGGGGTTCTTCACCCTCCCTAGGCCTGGGGGCTACAGTGGAGTCCCCTCTCCCACTTCCCAGGCTGGCAGGGGAGCAGCTGCCCTGGGGTGGTGACAGCGGGAGCCCCAGCTGCGCCCAGGGCAGCTGACAGGATTTCTAAGTAAAATTAAACCTCATTTTTAGAACTCTCAAATGTCGGGATTTTCTTTTTCAGCCACAGCTCTATGGTGAGATCATGAGTGATCGTAATTTTACTCAGAAATTGCATCTCTCACGATTAATTCACGAGAGTTGGCATGTCTGCGAATAGGTGAGGTCTACCAAACCCCTTCTGACATTTTTAACATTTTTTTCTTTTGATTTATAAAGTAGAGAGAGAAAACAGAAATGTCTATTTCTGTATGTTGAATTTTCCCGTTCTTCACTGTACCACTTGCACGTTTCCTAATAATAATAATATTGCCAGGGGATGTGATGTATGAGCATAAAGAGTTCTGAGAATGAGGTGAGATGTTCCTCTCTGATTTTCCAAAAGGCTCATTTAAAAACTTGTAGATGTCTACGGAGATACACCGCTTGCCCCCTCTCCGCCACCCCAGCCCATCTGGTTAACCCAACCACTAGTTACAAATTCTAAATCTTAATAGAGAAAATAATCGACTTTTCTGTTTTTAGGAAAGATCTGGGCAGCCACCAGTAATATGTTGCTCAGCTCCTGTCAAATGCAAAATTGAAACAAAACCTCAACTATGGTGCTGCCAATGAGCCACCATAATTCATATGAAACTTTTCACTCCCCCTTTGATCCCAGAAATTTACCTTTGTCCAACTGCTGTCTAGACGACAGAGAGTCTAGAGGAAGAAATGGGTGAAAAAGATGAAATGTCAGGTTGTTGTGTTTAGGAATATATTCACATTGTTAATGTTCTAACACAAAAGCAAAATGAAAAGAAAACAAACTTTATGAAGTTCTAGTTGTGACGAAGTGGGGGATTTTCTTGTTTTTTTCTTGTTTTCTGTGGGGTTTCAATGGTTTTCATGCAGAGGGGGTGGGACTCAGTTTCCCTGGGTGTTACTGGTTTAACGAGGTGAGGGGAGAGGGAGTTTGTTGTTACAGAGGACCGGAGAGGGAATTTGGGACCCCAACCAATGGCCTGGAGGATGGAGACCCCGACCCGGAGACCCAGCCCAGGAGTCACAGCCGGTTCTGGCCAGTAGGAGAACAATGGGCTACAGAATGAGGATCCAGTGACCTAACCAGCCGGAGGACAGAAGTGAGGAGAGGAGGCCCCAGTGTACAACCCTGTTTACCTGGAGAGAAGACAATGGACAGAGGCGGGGCCTGGGGCCAGTGATCTCAGCTGCCCAGCTGGGATCAGGGGGGCTCTGGGCTGGAGAGGGGCAGCAGGTAGAGCCCACCTGGATGCAGGGAGACTGGGATATGCTGGGCTGAGGGAGGCCAGGCCTGAGGCCCTGAGAGTTTCCTGTGCTGTGTTCAACTCTCAATAAACCCTCCTGTTTTATGCTGGCTAAGAGTCACTCTGGTCTAGAGAACAGGGTGGCATCAACCCCTTCGGGGGTGGAGGCCCGGGGGGTCCAGAGCGAGGGGACTTCCTGACGGGGCCCATGGCAGAGACAGACGTGCTAAGGCTCAGAGAGGTGCGGCTCCAGGAGGTGGTGGGGCTTAACCCTGAGAGAGAGTGGCCCCCCGAGAAGGGCTGTCACACTGAAAGGGGTTCCCCCCACGGACCACACGGGGCCAAGAGCGGGCACGATCTGTGAGTCCATGACACTAGTTAAGGAGGTTAAGTGCAATTCAGACCAGTACAAACCATTACACACATCACTAAAAATAACCACAAACATTAAAAACTAAGGACATGACCTAAGGTTACATGACAGACCCAGAGATGTTTTACCAGCAATTACACACCTGTGGCTGGCCCATGACAGCCGACTTGAGCTCGCAGGGCTGGGGCAATGGGGCTGTTTAATTGCGGTGTAGATGCTCGGGTTTGGGCAGAGGCCTGGACTCTGGGACCCTGTGACGGGAGAGGGTCGCAGAGCTCAGGTTCCAGCCCAAGCCCGAACCTCATGAGCTGGAGTCAGGGGACACGGGCCAGCCACGGGTGTTTAATTGCGGTGTAGAGAAACACTCTGAAACCAACACATCATTCACAGACAGACCCACACACAGACACTTTCTCACTGATTAGCATTCAATCAACTTTAAATCTTCCCCTGTTCCACTAGTACTTAGTAAAATGGCTCATCTTTCCTGACAGCCCTGGTGGTCTCATTCTCTCCAGCTCAGGATGATAAAAGGTGGAGAATCTCTCAAGCAGGGGTGGGGAACTTACAGCCCGTGGGTCAGATCCGGCCTGTTGCTAAATTTCATCCGGCCTGTAGCACCCCCACCACAGGGCTGTGGAGCTGCAGGTGCCGACTCACCCTGCCACTGGGGGAAGCCCCGAGCCTCTGCGCAGAACTACAGGAACTAGGAGTGCGGAGGGTACTGCAACACCCCTTAGGTTTTGCGTGGAGTCCCAGACGCAGGCCCCATGCCCGTCCTTCCTGCCCCGGTGCCGAAGGCAGGTTCCCGTCTGCTGGCCCCACACACGGGGCTCTGATCCCACCCCCAGATGTGGTCCCACACTTAGCCCCATTACCCCTATCCACATCTCACCCCCCCCTCCCAGAGCCACGGCCCAGTCTTGGCCCCAGGTCTCGGGGGAGGGGACTCAGACAGAGATAAGTGGGGGTGCCAGGTAAAAAGTTTGGTTACCACTGCCTCCATACACCCTGCAGGGCTGGAGCTGCGAGCGCAGGCTCGGCCTGCTCTGGGGGGAAGCCCCGAGCCTCCATGCCCCCTCTCTGTCCCCCCACAGGAGAGTGGCCCGTGATAGAAAAAAGGTTCCCCACCCCTGCTCTAAAGCAAGAGAGGGACTATGGTGACACCGGAGATCTTGCAGACAAAAAATCCAAACAAACATACTTCAAAAACAGTGAATTCAGCGGGAAGCCCAAGCTCAGGTTAACGTTCATAGCGGCTAAGAAAGGAAACCCCCAGGGAGTGCGAATGTAGGCCCCGAACCCAGTGTGTATGTGCTGTACTGAGAGCTGAGGAGGGAATTCATAGCTTCCAAATGATTAGTTGACCGTCTCCATCCACAATCATTGTCCCTAACAGATTTCCCCAGCTCTGTAAATTATCAGTGTAATATAGGTGAGAAAATTCCCCAGGTGACTGTTTATTACCTTTGAATTTCTTCATTATGGTCTCCAGAGAGGCATTTCTTTGAGAAGATTCCCAGATTCTCCATTTCAGTTCAGAAGAAAAGGCCACTGGGTTCTGAAACTTCTCCCTTTCGCATCTGAAGAACAACCCAGTGTTACTCGTTGTGGAGTTCGGTCATATTTTTTATTTACTAAAATGTATTTTATTCTAGTGAATGGGATTGTAGCTCAGCAGACCCTGGAGGATTAAAGTCTCTATTGCCCCAGGAATTGGTCCAGTCCCAGCTTGGACACTACAAGCTTCCCCTTCATTCTGGTGAGACCGATATTGGAAAACTGCCTCCAGTTCTGGTGTCCCCAGTTTAAAATGGACGTTGAAAAAGTGGAGACGGTGCAGAGAAGACCCACAAAACTGATTTGAGGGCTGGTAAAAATGCCTTGCACAGAGAGAACCCTGGCACTTGAGTGTGGGGTATAAATACCGTCATGGGGAGAACAGACTTGGTACTAAAGGGCTCCTCAGTTTAGCACACAAAGCCAGAACAAGAGGGAACATGTGTGTGTGGGGGGGGTGTCATTTGAGCTCCCCGCCTCAGGTGCCAAAATGTTATGGGCCAGCCGACCTCTAGGGAGCTTCAAGCGTTACTGTCTGTTGATGTCTTTACATCAAGACTGACTGGCTTTCTGGAAGGTGCGTTAGTCAATGCACGTTAGGATTTAGTCAAATACAAGTTATTGGGCTGAACACAGCAATAACTGGGTGAAATTTAAGGACCTGTGATACAGAGGCACCGACTCTGTAGGTGCTCTGGAAAAAAAAATACTGGGTGCTCAACACCCACCAGCAGCCCCACAAATCAGCTTCCCTCCCTCCCCCCAACCAGTGCCGCCCCCTGCTAGCTGGCCCTTATGATCAGTTCCTCCCCCTGCCTCCCAGCGCCTCCCATGCACCGGGGATCAGCTGTTCAGCAGCGGGCAGGATGCCCTGGGAATGAGGGGGTGGAGCAAGGGTGGGAAGAGGCTGGGCAGTGCAGGAAGAGGCGGGGCAGGGCCTTCGGGGAAGGAGTGAAGTGGGGGCAGGGCCCGGGGCAGAGCGGGTGTCGAACACCCCTGAGGGAATGAGAAAGTCAGTGCCTGTGCTGTGATATACAGGAGGTCAAATGTAATGATCTTATGATACTTTCTGGCCTTCAACTTTATGCATTTATGAAACTCAGTAATACCATGTGGCAATGAGTTCCACAGGTTAATAAGGAATTGAGTAAAAAATGTATTTCCTTTTCTAGCTTTACACTAGTTGCCTTTCAGTCGCACTGAAGGTCCGCTCGGTCTTGCACTGTGAGTGGGGGTAAGCAGAATCACCTGACTTATATCCTGTACACCATTTAAGGGAGGTAATGAGCAACAATCCTTGTGGTGATGTAGACACACATCGTACCAGGACCTGGAGTGAGACCTACTAACCCATTTCAAAGATCATTTATGTTCTTATTTAGCTCTTTGGATACATACAATGGTCAATCCACTAGCACAGGGGTTCTCAGCTTACAAAGGCAAGTGTGTGTCCACTCCACACTGAGGGACGGCAAATTACTGAATGAACTTGCATTGCCCAGGGAGCCTTGAGCAGTGTGAGTTGGTGCAGTTCTGGGGGGCAGGGCTGGAGCTGGGGGAAACTGGTTGGCACCTTTTTATTGCTGGTTCATCAATGGCTGGGAGATGATTCAGGTAACACAGCTGGGCGTGTCCCTGCCCGTAGGGGGCAATGGGGGAGAGACGGCAAGGGGAGGGGTTGCCCCTGGAAGAGAGCTAATCCCCAGAACAGCCAGGAGGAGGCACCACCTGCGGTGAATACAGCAACCTGGGACAACATCCCACAATGACATTTGCCTTTTTCACAAGAGCATCACACTGCCGACTCCTTCAATGTGTGATCCACTGGAACCCCCAGATCTCTTTCCGCAGTCCTGCTGCCTAGCCAGTGATTCCCCATTTCATAGTTGTACATTTGATGTTTCCTTCCAACGTGCAGCACTTTGTCTTTATTGAATGTCCCCTTCAATTGATTTTAATCCTTCCTCCCTCCGCCCTGTGTCTCTTGTGTCTATTTAGACTGTAAACGCCCTGGGGTAGGGACTGTCTCTGTCTGTGTCTGTGCAGCACCCAGCATGTTGGGCCCTGGTTTTGCCTTGAGCCTCTAGGCACTGCCATAGTGCTACTGATAATAGCCCATTATAAACTCCTTAGAGCTGGGAAAGTCTCTTCCATCATATCTCTTGCCATGCCCAGCACACGGACAGAGCTCACTGCATAATAAGAAACGATTAATAAACAGCTCATTGAATAGTCATCAGATGGCCCTGACTTTCCATCCCTACCCACCTAGGTGGAGTTTGGAGTCTGTGACCTAGAAATGGAAAACACTTTCTCCATCCCCAATCTGAGGTCTCCATTTCACCAGCTACACTACAAATCAATACCCTGCCTGTAGGTCAATCACACTTTTCTCAGGCTGCTCTATTCTGGAGTCTAGTCAGAATAACAACAGCCCCAAGATTAGATTTAATAGAGATAGATTGGGAACCAGCCCCACACTCTGCACTGCTGGACCATGGGGAGCCAGGTCTCGTGTCCAAAACCCCTTCCCTGCATTGGGAAGTGAAAGGGAGAGTGAGAAGGAGCCACCTACCTGCTCAAGGTGCCTTTGATGTCCTAGAGGAGAAAGATAAAAGGAAATTCAGTCCCATCTCTCATACTAAGGATCCCTCCTGCTCTAGAGGGGACTCACTTTGTCTTCACAGTTTGAGGTTCAAAGTGAAATGATTTGTTATTTATTTAATGCAAACAAAACATTAAATGTGCTGCCTTTGCTCTTTTGGAGAAGTGCTCGGACTACAGGATCTGGGCCCAGGAAGTTTGTACTGGGGGCACACAGGCTCTTTGTGTAATGACATGTGGATAACCACCTGGCACATGGAATCAGAGGGCTCAGTCTTGTGATGTGTTGAACAAGGATCTCCCTAACACTGACAGGTGTGGGGAAGATCCCCTCCTGCAGACTCCAGTGGGTCCAGAGGGAGGGATGCCCCCAGGCTGTGCTGCCCCCAGGCTGTAAACTCTCTCCCCACTCGCCCACAAACATTCTGAAGGCCCATCCTGTGGGCTTCTTGACACCCACAGGAAATTGGGGCTGGGAGAGAACAATGGGTTTGGGGTACAGAGTAACACAGGGCCAATCACTATCCTACACGCCAGGTTCAATGCAGGAAACCTGAGGAGTGAAGAATGCTGCCCACAGCAGATACTGGCTCCAACTGAGAATCTGAACCTAGATATCAGCTAGAGAAGTCCAGGATGCTACATTTTATTTCTCACCTTTTTTTTCTTTTTTTGCTAATTAGAGCCATTTTAAAAAAAATAAAATCATTAGAAGGCTTTCGAAATTCTAATGACTACTTATACATTCAGACTACCATCATTAATGAACAGCTTCCCTAACTAACTTCAGTTCTGGCAGACAAAATCACCACAGCCTCAGAGCTCATGTATCAATTTTAAGGCCAATATTTTCCCTTTTTGTGCTATGTAGGAAAAGTGGCAAAATCAGGCTTTAAATGGAATCGTAGCTTCAATCTTAGCTATTTCCATAATTAAAGGCAGGTTCCATCTTTAATCTTTTGGAGTTGGCGTTTGGAACACAGGAAATGCCAGACTGGCTCAGACCAGAGATCCATCTAATACTATTCTGTCTCCAAAGGTGGACAGTGCCAGATGCTTCAGAGGAAGGTGTGAGATAATCTGCCTCCTACATTCTCATCCTTCTCTCTAACAGTTAGCGACTGGCTGAAGCAATGAAGCATGAGGTTTAATATCACTCTGCATATTCTTGTTATCCATATAAATATCTGATTGCTTTTTGAGTTTTGCTAAATGCTTGGTCTCAACAACATCCAGTGGCAATCAGTTCCACAGTCTAATTACGTGATGTGTGAAAACGTGTTCATTGCATCAGTTTTGAATTTGTCACCCTCTAATTTCATTGACTCTCCCTTTGTTCTTGCAGTATGAGACAGGGAGCACAGAATTCAGAGTTTGCCATTTTTGGAGGAGTTTTCTCCCACTACAATTCAAATTAAGTATTTCTTTTCATTTAGGGCTCGATCCAATCCTCGTTGTACTCAAGAATTATATTTCCATTGACTTTAATGGGCATTTTATCAAGCCCCTAAGGAAAAATAATGTATATTTTAGCAATACTGTATGTTCTGACCATTCACTCCTACACTCCAAAAGTGAAGAGTTAGGAGACTCTCTCACCCTGTGAAAGGTTCTGGGGTGTTTCTAACACCGTCTCACCTGCAATAATTCACTTGCTGGCTGCTGGCACTTCTGCTCCATCTCACTGATCAGGGAACTGAAAGAAGATATTTCCTCAGATAATTTGGCAACATACTCAGCCCTCCCCTTTTCAATTTCCTGATTCAGCTCTTCCAACTGGGCCAGCCGGAGTCGCTCTTGTTCCTCCAAAAACTGGCGCAGTTGCTGAAATTCAGACACAATCTTCTGCTTCTCAGTTTCCAGCTGTTTCTGAAATGAGGAGATGCGAACAGGAAAAGCACAGGTCAAGGACAAGACTACGGAGTGAGTCATGGGACATTTTATAAAGCCATGGGACATTTTATGCATGTGGCAGCAGGTCATTGCAACCCCACAGAATTTAACTTCTGACATTTTATGGAGAACATACTCTATGCTCACTAGACAGAAGATTTTCCAATAGATTTTCAAGAGTCCTAACTGGTGTTTAGAATATGAATTTTTCTTGCATGATTCGGAGAATCTGTGATCAGTGGCTTCTAGAAAACCAGATCCTTCCAATCACAGGAAGCACAGCAGGTGTGGGATTCAGAACTGGACTTAGTAGAGGAAACAGCAGAACCCAAACTAAGAAGCACTAGACTTGAATTGGGGAACACACGCTGTCTGCAAAACACAGAGACATAAAGGGTATTTAAAAAAAAAGTACTAAAATTTGAGCTCCATCATTTGCTCTCATGAGTTCTGAAAACAGTTTTGGATATATAAAATTCGGCCCATCATATGTCTTGGATTTTAAGCCACACAGGGACCTTGAGCAAAATTGGGCTGCTGGGAAGACCCCTTTTTGCACATGCAAATCTGAGTCTGCAGGCTGCTTAGGAATGAGCGTATGAACTGGACAGAAGTCCACCAATTATTGCTGTTTCTGGAGCACTCTCTGGCCCCCGATACCCTAGGAGCAAGGAAATCAGACCAGATCTGGAACCCAGATCGTCTCCATGACAATGTCTAGCAGCGATACCATTAAGGGCCTGATCCAGAGCTCATTGAACGGACCCGGAGTCTTTCCAAGGACGTCCTTGTGCTTTGTCTTAGGCACTAAGTGACCAGCCTCCTCCTCTGGGGAGCAGATTCCTAGAGCAGCTGCACGGATTGGCCAGCTGTGGTTATCTCTGCTGAAAGTGCAGCTGGCCAAAAAACTCGGGGTTGGGGGAATTTACAAAAATAATTGAATTTTCAAAGTTGTTTCCATTTCTCAGTTTTCAAAATGGAACTTCTTTTGATTTATTTGAAAAATATCTTGAAATAACTTTAGAAAAATGTCACATTTTTCTTTCTCCCTTTTCCCAAAATGGAACAAAATAATGTTCATTCCCCCCCCCCCTCATTTTTCTGTTTGGTACTTCCTCTCCGTGCCTCTTCAAAAAATATCCCATTTTTGAAAAAGTGGCAAAAAGAAAAAGGAAAAATTAAGGGGAAAAAAACTGGAAATTTTTCATTTTAGTGGCACTCAGGAGAAACAAGGACTAAAAAGAGAAAGAAAGAGATAAACAAACATGAAAGTTTTTAAAATGTTCAGCTTTTTAAAAGCAAAATGAAAATTTCAGTTTGAAATGACACAAAAATGTTTGTTTCATTTTGAAATTTCCTGTCAAAAAATTGAAAAATGTCTTGTAAGTGACTTTGTCCCATGAAAAAAATTGTTTTCTACTAAACCCCTTTTATCTGCAAGAAGCTTTGTTTGGTTGAAATTTTTCAACCAGCTTTAATTGAAAGATTAGAGAGAAACTACTGTTACATAAACAAATTACATTCGAATTCTCTGTGAAAATCTTTGGATGATTAAAACTCTTTCTTTAATGCTGCATTTTCCTGCTTACAATCAATTAAAGCAGAGGAGTTTTTCTTTACGAGAAGAAATAAGTGATCATCTTACACGGCTGAGAACGTGTTACTCACTGTTCCTCTGATGATACTCAGACTAAGCCGTGTGTTGATAATGTCCCTGTGCACATTTGCTTCTGAATAATAACGGCACCTACCAGCACTTCATGGCTTTTATTTTCCCCACTCAATTTAAATGACAGAATCACGTCTCTCTCTATCTTCAAAATCTCCAAACGGCTCCGAATTTGGTCCTAACAAAAGAAAAACTGGTTTAGTTTTGGTTGTTTTTGGAGGATTTCCCCCCATTTATTTATATGTATAAGGATATCAAGTACATAATAAAATGGGTGAGTGCTCTAACCACATGACTCTACAGTCACTCTCACGCTTGTGGTCTCTCTCTCTCTGCAGCATTATTAAACTGGTGCCCCCATGCTGCACTGACTGACCCCCAGAACTCCCCCACATTGCTGACACACAGCGGCAATGGCTCAAGGCAGGCTTTGCGCTGTCACATGGGGGCTACATCTTGCCAGAGCCCCCCGCTCCTGCAGCCTTTCCTGGCTCACCACGAGCATTGTGACAGGAAGTACCAAGCAGTAACAACAACAACAACAATAAAAGAGTGTGTGTGTGTGCGCGTGAGAGCCAGTGCATGTGAGAGAGACAGAGAGCCTGTGTGTGTGTCTGACTGTGTGTTGGGGGACTGTGTGACAGAGTGTGTGTTGGGGAGTGCAAGACTATGTGTGTGACAATCTGTATTGGGGGACACAAGGCTGCTTTGCTTTTCCTGTCCTGGCCCCGGCCCTGCCCCACGGGAGTCCAAGCGGTGCCGGCAGGCAGGGTGCAGGGAGGGACTCTGCTCCAGGTGGCAGTGGGCCGGCCCGCCATGTTGCCAATGACTGGCCGCGCCGCTCTGGGCTCCCCGGGGCTGGGGCGGCAGAGCCGGCCGGCTGAGGAGCGAGTGAGGAAGCCTGCCGGCCCAGCGCGGGGGAGGGGCCAGAGAAGAGAGGAGTCCAGCTGCGGCCAGTGAGGGGAAATGGTGCCCCAAATTTTCTGGTGCCCTAAGCAGCCGCGTGTGCTGCGTATGTCCAGGGACGGCCCTGAACACTATCCCACAGAAAACCTTTTCTGAATCCATCTTCAAGTGCCAGTTACAGGCAAAACATAACTATTTTTTCTGAGGTGGCACAAGGGACCAACATGATTCCCATATAGTTTGGTCCCATCTATAAACGCAAGCCTGCATTGCATGCCCAAATGCCTGTGCATTGTCTGACTGGCGGCCTGCAGACTGGATCCGACACGCGGGACGATTCTGTCCGGCCCCGACGGAGAACAAAATGGTGTCCTCCGCACAGCAGGACCTCGCACACAGTGCAAGTGAGATCATGTTTACACCGCATGGAGGACGCCATTTTGGACTGCCTAAGGCATGCAGATGAGTTGTTGCATGTGTAAGCAGGGGAATGGTCCCACTATTGTGGGGAACTTCCCTGGCTTCGGCACTACCCCGGTGAAGTGGGCTAGCGAAAGGATGTGAGTCCTCGCTCCCACTTCCTTTACCCAGAGGCCTCCCTGCCCTCAAGGGCTCCCCTTCCACTCTCCTGTCTGGCAGAGTCCTCGTAACCCCAACAAGGCTGGACCCAGGATTCCTGGGGGGCTCGACCCCCAACCCTGCTGTGGTCACCTAGGACAGGGGCTAGGGTGTCCCCACTCCGGGGTACTCTCTCTGCACTGGGCACCTCCCTGACCCACTGATCATTCCATACAATGTAAAGCAATACAGTTTATTTAATTAACAATTAGTTTAAAAAGGAATAAGGAAAAATGGGAAAGCTTGAAGGAAACACGTCACCCCGCTCTGTGGCCGGGAACATCACAAACAGTGTCTCTGGAGCGTCAGGGCAGGTCACAGTCTGTGCCTTGTCGGTCCCAGGCTCCTTCTCAGGCCCTGGCCGTGCTGCAGAGACGCTGCGGGTCGGACACTCGCTCGGGCGGTGGCCACACGCTCTCAGGCTCTAGGTAGCAGGACCCTTCTTCCCAGCGTCGCCCCCGCCCGGTCGGGGTTACGATCCCCCTGCAAGTCTGGCCTGCAGAGCCTCTTGGCTGAGACGTCTCCCTGCGCTGGGCCCACTGCCCAGGGTCCCCCTCACTCTCCCCAGCTGCTCCCCACACCCGGCTCCGGACAGCTCCAGCCCCAGCCCCAGCTCCAGCTCCAGCTCCAGCCCCAGCTCCAGCCCCAGCTCCACTCGGCCTCAGCCCGGCTGCTGCTGCTGCTCTGCCTCCAGCTCCCTGGGCTGCTTGTCTGGCCCCCCTGGCTTTGGGGCTGCAGCTCTGCTCCCAGCAGCTCAGCTCGGGCCCCTGCTCTCTCCTTAGTTCGGCCCCGCTCTGTCTGACCCAGGCCATTCCAGCTCACATGGAAGACAGGAACCCCCCCCCCCCGGCCTCCTGACTCCATGATTAGCTGCCTGCCCTGTCAATCAGTCTGACCTGGAGCATTGGCCTCTCCCCATTGTTCCTGGGGACTGTCAGTCTGAGGGTCCTGGTTGCCCATCGACCCCTCCCCTTTTAGTCCTGGGAGCAGCCACCAAAACACTCCCAGAAAACCTTTGCTGAAGCCACTTTTAGGGGCCTGTTCCAAGCTCCAACTAGCTTCATAAATAAAACTGCCCAGAACACTCAGTTCCAGAGACACAGGGAACAAAAATATGCCAGAAACACATCTTAATAAATACAATTGTTGAAAAACCAGTGGAGACTGTTACAGACACTTCAGAGCAATATTTTATTAATGAGAACTGACTAATTACACGTTATTAACCTTTTCTAACTCAGAACCTTTTATTTGAACACAAAAAAGGACTTGGAACACACAGTTCCAACTCTGAGAGTTGGTAAGACAACTCCCACTTGTTCATGCTCTCTGTATGTGTGTATATATATCTCCTCAATATATGTTCCACTCTATGCATCCGAAGAAGTGGGCTGTAGCCCACGAAAGCTTATGCTCTAATAAATTTGTTAGTCTCTAAGGTGCCACAAGTACTCCTGTTCTTCTTTTTGCGGATACAGACTAACACGGCTGCTACTCTGAAACAGTTCCAAAAGCGCTCAGGGACCAAAGTGATACACATAATACAACTCACTGAGAATAATGCAATAATACAGAAAACCTCTTCCAAAAATTCACATTCAAGTGATGGTTTCAGGCAATAAACGGCTGTGTCAGTAAATCCGCCCAGGACACTCAGTTCCGAGGCAGCAGAGGGGACAGAAATGATACTCATGATACAACTGTAAGCAGAGTCAGGATGAGCTCTACCCTGACATCTGGTGGTGAATTATGGCGAGTGTGGAAAAGAACTCCAGGGGCTGATCTTGTTTGCATAGGCACACCCACTCGCCTGGCATGAAACAACAGCAACTCAAAGTGGTTACTTTGGCTGGTGTGGGATCCCCAGTTTCTTTGTTATTGGGGCAGGAAGAAATAAAAGTTTTAGTTTACCCTCGATTCTG